TGGCGGCGGCGAAGGGCCCTCTCGTGCTCGCGCAAAAGCCCTCCTTACTAAATAAAATGGACGTTATCTCCTCTTCTAGGCTCTAGACGAGGCAGGAAAGGGAAAGGAAAGAATTAAACAGCGACGGACGGAGCGGCAGACCTACAAAGGAAAGGGTTGGCAAGAGAGACAGGTGACAAAGACAAGGATTCGGCTGGGGAGCGCGGTAGGAGCCCGGGGGGCGCGGGCCCCCGTGAGGTGACATGGGAACAGACGGGACAAGAAACTGCTGTCACCGCAAGACACAGTCGTGCTCCGATACTGCGTCTCTCCACCATGCATATCACGCTATAAAAATTGAAAACATTAACATTTCCGTGGATTTTCCAAACAGAACAGTTTACTTAGGCAGCAATTCCGTATTTTCTATTGGAATATCCATTTTGGATACGCTCCAGTATGGAATATCCATACTTTTAAATATCCACCACCTAATGCCTAATTGCCTCAAAGCTTCAGGGTAATCAAATACATTTGCTTTGAACCATACATACCCACAACACTGAAACGAGGTTTTCTTTATAATATATGTTATATATATGTTTTTCAAATGCTTAAATAACCTAAGCAAATTTGTTTCAATTAAAGAACCTGTTTTCAAAAAGCCCTTCCCATTCTACTGGAAAAACTTGTTTTATTCAGACATATGTAAAAGGGTATTTAAAGCAATGCTGTTGCTTTAAAGCATAAATTGTGTTCATAGTCTGGTCTATTTTCTGTAATACTATGAATCTGTACGGGAAAGCAAACTTTCAAAATTCATGTGGGTACAAGCCTCTGAAAAGGCTACAATTCTTTACTCCAGTTTTCCTTCCATGAGCTCTTGTATTAAGTTACAAGTAAAAGCAGTTAAAATAAAAAGCCAATAATGTAACAAATACCTAACATGGATATAACACACATTTTGACAACAGTCAATAAGATACAATTCTGTCTTAGAAAACGGTACTACAGAGAATCACGGCAGAAGCACACGCCAGAGGAAAGCCAAGGTGCCACGCAGACAACTGCAGTACATGTGGACTCACCGTGTGAGTAGCGGTGTAGAATCTGAACTGACGTAAGTTACACCATGCTACTGTGCATGTACTACAACACATATGGCATGCAGAAGAACAGAGAAGGAAAAGAAAAAGAACCCCTATATTTTTT